TGTCACCCTATAATGAGGATAAACCAGTCGTTAATGCAGCGTCCTAAGCTGTTACTCTGTACACGCTGGCTGATTCGTTCATACAGCGATGACCATCATATAAGCATTAATGTGATTAGGCTATAATTGCCCCTGCTTGTGACTTTCAAAAAATTTTTATGCTTATGTTTTCGCAGGCTACATGGTGCCTTGACAGATTTCTCTCTTTCATCAGTGGTTGCAGGAAAGACGATTTCATCATTCTTAGGTCGCAAATTAAATAGTTGACCTTTCAGCTGTAAATCGTTTAGTTTAAGAATTCCCATTTTATCCTTATGCCAAAATAACATTATGTGAATATGAGGCACCTCCCTGTCCGTGCTGTTGACACATTTCATCTCTTCATTTGAAAATGTTACCAACCGTTGCCACCAGCGTAATAAGGATGACGTTGGACGAGAATAAGAAGGCATGGGACGTAACAACGATGACGTAATCTGAGACTGAAGGTGTTCAGCTTAGTATGAGCGTTACAAACGAGGTTCCATGCCAGCTGGGAGGTGAACCGCGGTTGACGACCAATGTCACATTGTACGCAAGACGAGAGAATTCCTATGGCTGCGTATATTGGAGTCGGTGACGATGATGACCCGGTGAGATGACGACAAGGACGCGACGACGGTGACGACGACCACGACGATGATGAAATACGTCGTGCAAAGTTTACGACCTAATTATGGTGAATTGAATATCGTCGTTGCGGTTGGAATTCGCATGATGTCGCGACGAACGGAAGGGTGAGTGAATTTTTGCCCATCTCCGGCGGAAACGTGCCCTTGTGCACCGGCACAGCGTCGTCGCTGGAAAAAGGGTCAGTCACCTGAACGAACGGGGGTAACGACCTGCCTGAACGAGCAAAGGTGAAAACGAGCTGCGGCCGCTGCTGAACTCGGTGCCCCACATCGTCGACCCGGCCAACCCCCTCTCCCTGCACTGCACCAGCAGCAGTCACATTCGCCACAGTCGTCCCGGTCGTCGTTGCTCGATGCCAAGTCGTTTAAGAACACCCGTTTCTTGACCGTTCTCGTCACTCACCCCCCGAACAGATCGGTGTCCAC